AGGTATGGTTCTGATTTCTCCCCATCCATTCGTTCATGTCTGGTTTTCGTCGTTAAATAACTTGACCGCGGGAACATCACTCATAGCCCATATTTGTCGAGATAACGAGCAATAGAACAAACAATGCATAACGTCTTCCCCTCGCCTTTTACAAAAAGCGCAGCTATCTTCTTCCAACACTCTCCTCTACAATAGATTATTTCGAGTAGGTAGCAAATTTTTGCATGCCCCTCCAGAGAAAATTTTTGACCTTGTTCGGGATATTTAGATCCCATAACCATTTCCACACCCCCCTTTCATGAGCGGACGAACTATTACCTGGCCATCCATCCGCTTCATAGTTAATTTTAATCGCAAGGTGGTAAGCACTACGAACTAAAAATAACCCACTTCGGTTATAGTGCCAAATACACCGATCCTCATTAAGTCTGCTTCCAAGAGGTACATACAGTATACTCTTGCCATCTTTGATACGAACCCCGTAGAACTTGTTACGAGACCCTAATACCTTACGCGGAAGCAAGATCGAAAGACATCCAAAAACAAAGATTCAAAGGGTGGAACCGCGACCCGTTACCTATAAAGAGGCAAGAACCTTGGTATGTGAAGACGCCACAATCGATTGTGAAAGATCGATTGATAAGTCGGGGTGAACAAACGGAATCCACCGATATGTTCGAAGAGTTCTTAAAGAACCAAAGAGAATATTCTCAATTAAATCATCAAAATTCGTCCTCTAAAATAAGCCAAATTGGCAACCTATTTATAAGTGCTAAAAAGACTCATTTTTCACAAGGAAAAGGACTCCTACCTAAACTATAATAAGGAAACTTGTAAATAAGCAAATCCTAACCATAAAAGACTCTAAAATAATAAAAACATAATAAATCCTAAATTATAAACGTGCATAAATAAACTAGATAACTTGATCTTCAAGTCGACTTCTCGATCACCCTTCTTAACTCGCGACATTGGGCTGTGCACGTGCATGCAATTAAAGCTCAATTTCGACAATGTTCCACTTCGAATATCTCTTTGCTCTAAACATGAAAGTTGTAGATCTTTCAGTTAGCTTTCCGAATCATTTTGAATCAGCTTAAATGGACTTCAGATGAGAGAGCTATAACCCGAATGGTAAACTCTGCCTGAATATGCGAGAATCTCGGA